AACATGCGATCACCATGATCCGATCAAGCAGATTGGATCATAAGCCAATCAGGACACGGTGCGTTTACACCTGTCCACATCAAGCGGCTTCTGTATCTGGATAACAGATCGGATCTCGCATTCCCGCCAAAAAAAAAGAAAAGAAAAAAAAAGGATGGCTCCGGTGCAAAGTCGACCTGAAGTGGTGGGTTTTCTTTTAAAAACAGTTTTCAGTCGGGGGACATTTTACAAATCTTGCAAAATGAGGAGGATGAAGAGGCTGCAAGTACTAATAATGTGGATGGATGCCATAATGGAAACGGTACAGAGAAACGTATGGGTCCGAGAACGTTGCCAGCTGTGGTGGGAAAAATGCGCGTTCTTTAAAGAAAATGAATGGATCTGCAACTTTCGGGTGCAAAGGCAAACATTTCAGTATATTTGCGATGTAATCCGCACTCGACTGTATCGCAAAACCACACAGCTTCGTGCAGCAATTCCTGGAGAGAGGAGGGGGAATAATGACAGTGGGCGGGGTTTTGTGTGACTTCCACCTGTGAATGCAGACATGATGGCTGGATTGCGTTTACATTACACTGAGATCCGATCACAATGCGTCCTCGACTACCTCCGAACCTGGACACGCTGATCGAATAACATCTTGATCAGAAGTGCGTTTACACTTGTCTTTTCAAATGTGTATGTGGAAACGCAATATCCGTATACAGGTTGCATGTTAATGCCAAGTGTAAACACAACCAAAGAGCCCTCGTCGTTATAGGAAATCTGCAGTGCCATCGAGCAGAGTCTGCCGCCATGGATGCTAAGGTGGTGCGCTGGAGTGACTTTCCGGGGGATGGACGAACCAGCTGCTGTCCCCCTGGGTTGTGTGCCATCCGAGAGGGGTCTGAGGAGTCGCCACAGTTTTCCTGAGGCCAGAGCCAGCTGCAGTCTGCCATGATGGGGTAGGGGGGACTCCAGCCGGGTGCCCGAAGCCGGAGGAACCGTCACCGTCCAACAGGGGGCAGAGGAGTCAGAGGGCCATCCACCGAGGGGTATCCAGCGCCACTGCCAGGCATCGCGGAGGAGTTCACCTAGTGCGTTTCGGGAACCGGACCCAGACCCAGATTTTATTTTATTTTTTCTCTCGGCTTGTCTGACTTTACCCACAGGTGCTGCAGCCATAGAGCGCAATCTCGTGGATGCCCCCCGGCCTGCGAAAGACGATGAGGGTATGTGGCAAGCAGGACAGAGCCGAGAGCTGTGGGAACAGAGCAAGGCCGGTGACGCGAGTGGTACACTGGTCTCAAGTCCCATGAAGGAGCTCTGGAAGGATAAAACAGGAGTGACGACAGTTATGCTCATTTATGTTGTGTTTCGTCATGTTTATTTGTTTATCTTTACTTTTGTTTTGTTGTTTGTATATTTCTTGATTAAAACTGTATCATTGAACGTTCGCCGGTTCCCGCCTCCTTCTTCCTTGAGCCTTGAACATTGTTACAAAAGAAAATAATGACGTGCACGGACAAATCATTTGCAATAAATACTGCAATATTCCCCCAAAAAAATAAGAATCACCGATTTCGATTGCATGGTGACTTTAATGACACATGCTACTTTCCTGTTTCTATTATCGCACTGTAGATTCGCTCTCTCTCATGTCATTCAAACGCAACTGATGCCATGCATGTATAATGAGTAAGATTATAAAATAATTTAAACTCAAACGTGTAAGGTGGAATAATGGTCATTATCTCAAAATAAATCCCTTATACAGGAGGTTTTGGTTGTGTTTGACCACAGCTGAAGAACAGTACAGTGTCTCCCCCCTTTGTCCATACTAAGACACAACACTCTCTTTCTCTTTCTCTTTCTCTTTCTCTTTCTCTTTCTCTTTCTCTTTCTCTTTCTCTTTCTCTTTCTCTTTCTCTTTCTCTTTCTTTTCCTCTTTCTTTTCCTCTCCCTCCTCTTTCCTCTTCATCTGCATCACAGGTTGTCTGTTCCTGTAAAGGTTGCAGCTTAGGAAAGCTTAGTCTACTCTGTGAATGACCTTTGCTTTTAATATGAATATTTCTCTTTCATTATTACTATCATATAGTACAATCTATGCACATGATCGGGCACAATAGATCTCCTTTTCATTAGTGCAGTGAAATGCCAGCCAGGCAGTGTAAGGGACTTCCAGCCCTGCCAGATTATTCGCTTCTCCGTCTGCCCTTGCTCCCTTAACCACCTCTTGACAATGAGAATTAATATGCGTGCAGTTCTGCTGCTCTCTATTCTCGCTGGAGTTCAATAGGCAACTTTATCAGGGAGAACATTATTGAGAGCTTTGCCGAGAGCTTCTTCATCACACTCACATCTGAGCTGGCCCAACACTTGTCACTGTCAATCACAAGGTGATAATACACTGAAGATTTCCTCATTTGGTTTAATAAAATCTCCAGGCTTATTTGAACTGCAGTCATTATAGCAAATAATTGCTGCATTGAGGTGCTAGCCGGGCCATAGCCTAAGGGATAAGACAAGACTATTGCTGTGTGTGGGACTCGGTTGATGTTTTTTCCCCTCCTCTTTCCTTTCCCCAGTTGTGCATATTCCAATGAATATTGCATCTGAATCCAGCTCTGGCTTTTTTATTCAAACTAACATTGTTATTACTTATTATCTAGACGTGAAGTCATTCGTTCTGGCTGCTTTATGGCTTTTGCTGTCGTGGCATATTTCACTGGGGGGCTGCCAATTGCAATTTTTAACTGTCATTTAAACCAAATTGCAGATCAGAATAAGCAGGCCTTTGGTGTCTCAGAGGAGACACCGAGTGATGGAGAGGATGAGCACTGGATATTTTTCATCTGCAGCTTGAACACAATGGCCTACCGAGTGTCTGTTTTGTAGGAAGTTTGATACATTAATCAATACTATAACAAAAAAGGGACAAAACAATAACCCAACCACTCATTAGATTAGCTTTTTTCGTCTCAGGAAGCAAAACTTTGTGCAAGGCTCAGGCAAAGCCTGTTAGAAATCCATTATTTTAAAGTCTTCTCGAATTAACATTCAAAAAGCATTTTAAACAGGTATTCCTACTCATGTTAAGGTTTAAATGGAAGCACAAATGACAAAAGACAAAATGACATCTATGTGCTGAATTTTTGCTCTGTTGACCTCTCTCTTTCAGACCTCATTATAGTAGAGCTCAGACATTACAACCCATGAGAGATAGTACCAATGTTGACTACAGAAAAATACACACAAATATTGAACTATTTCATAGCAGAATATTAAAAATGCAGTGTTTACTTGTTTTTACTCAGTGTCAGGCTCTCATTAAAAAGATCAGATTGAAATCAGATTGTGCCAAATTATGTCATTTTCTATGCTGTTAACATTATTAACACTTCCAGGTCAGGTAGGCCAGAGGGTATTAGCATTTGAGGCTGAGTGAAATCACCTCTTTCATGTCCAACATTTACATTTTAGAAATGCCACTGGGATCCAGTCAATATCATTCTGTCAGTGAGTCAGTGACCTTGCTTTGTTTACTGGGCTGGCTGCATCAAGAAACCACAGGCCAATTACTTATATTAACAGACTGTGTTGAAAAACAAAATGAAATCAGATAATTAAACAATAATTAAGTCAATAATTAACTTCCACTTTCAGTCCTGGACAATGCCATTTCCCTCAATTAGGTAAATCGGTGATGCAGTAAATGACTTTTTTCTTTTTTCCTCTATGTTCCTCATAAATTATTATTAGGCATGTCCCTCAAGAAATCAATCAATCAATCAAGCAGGTGCCAAATTTTACAGTGCAATTACTCCAGAAGTAAGCAGGAAAACTCATAAGTTACTGCAGTAGGCCACCATGACATTGTCTATAAAAAAATTGTGACCATGTAATGACAGCATCAATGACAGTCTTGCCAAAAGGACACGACTACTTTTCAAAGTAAACGCCTGTGTGCCTATTTAGAGAGGATTAAATTAGGCAGTTATTTGGGGAGATTGTTGATTTACTCTAATTCTGAGTATTTGACTCCCTCTGTTGTCCTAAAGGGGGCATTGCAAAACCAGATGCAAAATCTCTTGCCAATGCCAATGTATGCTTGAACATTATAACAGCAGCCGATTTCCTTCTTTGCTCTATTCTAAAACCCTGGATGTGGAAACTTTCTTCTTTTTTTAGTAAGATAACCGGTATTTCACCTGCAAAAGACGTGTAAAAGCGCAGGAATATTTGAAGTATTGTTTTATAAAACTAATATAAAGACAACTATTAGACATCCTATTATTATACCAAAGTATATTAAATTAAAGTAATGGTTAACTTTAAAAGGTGCACTGAGGCTCGTAATTAATTAACCTTTTATTATGTATTAAAAAAGCTACCCAATAATCTGTTTTATAAATTCACATAAAACCACGATTAAAGGGACCAATCCGAATTTACTACCTTGGTCTGATATGATATACAGGGAAAAGCACCAATAGAATCTACCGTGCGTCTCTATAAGCCAATGAGTGAACGCGAATCCATTCCGTGCAGTCAACTGGGAGGGTGGATACTACGTGTTTTAAAAACGTGTGAAATGTCCTGAGTTTAAGCACGGTAAGTTTCTCAAAGTCCATTATAATGTAGAAATGTTTATGAACGTTTAACGGAGATACGCCATGTAACGTTATATACTGTAAAATCAAATTTACAAATCGCGTCCGTTCATGCGCTCAGCTCACAGCTCGAGGTAACAACACAGGAGGTATTTTGTCAGCTGATTTTTTTTGTCAACAACTTTCCTACACTTTGCGGCAGATGCCATTCCCAGACGATTTTAAATGATCTAAAATGATATGTACCTAATATTTGCTGTCTAAACGTTAACCTGGAGACATTTAACCTTGTGGATTGCTGTATTTAATGTTTGATAGGGTGAAGAGCTTATCAATCACAATGAAATCCAATCACCGCCCCTCAGTTGTGTTTATGTCCCGCCTTTTCCTGTCAAGTTAGTTAGAGGTGTGTTCAGTATTTGTCTGAGATTATTCGGATAACAGTGTCGTCGGTGATTTGGTCAACGGTGCGGCATTAAAAAGCAGTCTCAAACTATTTCACATCTAAACAAGTTACTGTGTGACATGTCTTCAACCAGGTGACAGTATTTGTCGCAGGTAAGTGGAAGCCCGTTTGTTACGGAGATTTTGCTAAATGAAGGCTAGTCTAGTCCAGTTACAAAATACCGTGTCAGTAAGTTACCTTAAACCCTGCTTTAAATCTGTGTTCTCACCTAGAGAACACATTATTAAACGCTAAAGTGTACATGTTATGAAACAAAGCCGTCTGCAGTGGGTGTCAGGTAAACATGAAGGCAATTGTCTTAGGAGTCAGAGCTCTTGTTTCTAGTTGAGGCGGTTCTTCCTGTGTGCCAGGCGTTGACATCTGTCATGTTACTACTGAATTTTCACTCACCTTGGTTATAATTTTATATGAATTTTTAGTTTAGGTTAATGTTTGTCTCTTAAGACCCTGCTAGATCTGGCTCTAAGTGATAAGTGAAATAAGTAAAAATGTATTAATAAGAATAAATAAATAAAACATTTAAGTCTTAAAGTACTATAGGGAGTAACAAAAAAAGAGAAATGTAATTTTCTAAATAATGTTTTACACACATTTCTAATATTAATTGTTCACAGTATAAATTGGGTCTTTATACATATAAACATATCGCTGACTGTTTTGCGGATGCGGGTCCCTTGCATGAGGATGATCATATTTGGGGGTCCATGGCATATAAAAGATTGAAAACCCCCGCATTATACTGTAGCTCACCGAAGTTCTCACTAGCACCGGCAACAACATGGTTATTGGGGATTGGATTGCCACCAGCTGCCATACAGCATCAGGTTGCCCATTGTGTTCTTCAAATATCCAGGCTCTCATCAGCTCTCTCTCTCTCTCTCTCTCTCTCTCTCTCTCTCTCTCTCTCTCTCTCTCTCTCTCTCTCTCTCTCTTTCTTTCTTTCTCTCACAGCAAATTCTTCGGATGCCACCAAAAAGTGGACACGCATACACCCATCTAGAGCTCAATGAGTAATGAACCCATTCTGGAGCATGTCGACAAACGCTGGTCGTAAGGTAAAGTATGGCAGTCCTAAATGTTTGAACAGGCTTTAAATTTAAGCCAGAACATGGCCCGTACCTGACAACATTTGACTTGATCCTGCCTGACCCGAATGGTGCTATTAAATTTGAGGCCTGAACCCTGTCTGCCGTGTTGTGACCGAGAGAGTGCTATATATATATATTTTTTATTTATTTATTTATTTATAAATCTTAAGGTACTGCCTGACATTGTTATGCAGCATATCCCAATGTCCTTTACCTGAAGTCTAAATGCACAGACTAAGGAATGGACTGGTTTACAACAGGTGACTTCAATAAGGAACTCACGTGGAAGGCTCAGGGTTTAAAGGTGATTTCGCACAGTTCAGCCTCTCTAAAGTCACAAGCTTTTGTGGTGGGGGAGGGCGTTTTTAGGCTAGTGGCTCATTCTCCTAGAAAAACATTGATTAGTTTTGAAGTTATGGTTGTTTTAAACTCTTGCTGAAGTCTGAGAATTGCAGTCAATTAATGCTTTTAACTCAGAAAAGAAGTAGGCTAACAGTTTGTTCGTTGCAAACTACAGACGTTGTCGTCCTGACTTTGGAGTGGTGTGGCGTCGCAGGTGTCATAAAGACGTTAAATTCAGCTGTTTCTTACTAGATGCTGACTCATGACCCCACTGCTTTGTCTCATTGATTTATGGTACACACTTAGACTAGGCCTAGCTGTTTGTAATTCTTTGAGAGGTGTCTTTGACTGAATTCTATGATTATTCAGCTGTAATTTGTTTTCGTTGGCTTTATTAGAGGCTATATGTGCTGAATTCGTTTGCTGTTAGTTATTGTTTCCATTTAGCCCCTTCTGCTTGTGAATTTCTGGTGTCTGATATTTACTTTCGTCTCTTGAATTATAGTGAGGCCCAGATGGAGTCTGCAGTTTTTTTTTTTCTCTCTCTGTGCTAAGAGAAATTCTGCATAATGGATTCAAATAAGGTAAAATGTATTAGGCGAGTCTAACAGTGCTAGATCATGCTTATTGGTAGATTAACGCATAATCATTAAGAAAAAAATTAAAAAGGAAAAATTATGAAAAAAGACACAAACTTTCAAAGGGTTCTCCAATTCTGAGTTCTGTGATATGGATTTATAGTGTGTATAATGGGTGAATAGCATGACTTGACTTATCAAGATCACATTTCACTCAAATTCAAAAGAAATAATTTTTTTTGTTTTAAAAATATGACTGCTTGTTTCATTAACTGGAACATTTACTGCAATGAAAATGTATTTCTTTAAAGAAATGGTCTAGAACAGTAACGTTATTAGGCAGGTTCAGTACTAGAGAAATTTGGCCCTGGGAATTCGAAATATTTAAAACATTAACACTTGCAAACAAAAGGAAAGAGTAAAAAAAACTATAAGCTTCATTTGTTGGTGCATGTATGTGCAGAGATCTGACGCTGAAGAGCAGAGTGGTCCAGGGGAGCAGAGAGCCAGTCCAGCTCGTCCTTCGTTTGGTAAGAAACAGCTTCCCTCCATCCCGAAGAATGCCATCCCCATCACTAAAGCTGCCTCTCCGGCCTCAACACAGTCTGCCAATGGCACCCACGCCTCGTACGGCCCTTTCTACCTGGAGTACTCGCTGCTTGCTGAGTTGTGAGTGATGCTCCGCTCTTATTCATTGGCTTTCGTTGATAATTGTACATGAGGAAGTTGGCACACCACAGCTCCATGAATAGAAAAATAATTTATTGCTTGTTCTCACCAAAAGTGACCTTCATTGGACAGACTTACAGTACCTGTCAAAAGTTTGGAAACATTAATCTTTTTTTTAATGTTTTGGAAATAAGTCTCTTATGCTCACCAAGGCTGCATTTATTTAATAAAAAATACAGTAAAAACAGTAATACTGAGAAAACAATTATTTTAAATTGTAATAATAATTAAATTTTAATAAATTAAAAAATGTAATTTGTTCCTATGATGACAAAGCTGAATTTCCAGCTTCATTTACTCCAGTCTTTAGTGTCACGTGATCCTTCAAAAAATCAAGCAGCACTGCACAAGGGTTTTCAACATTGATAATGCTAAGAAATGTTACTTGAGCACCAAATCATCATATTAGACTGATTTCTGAAGGATCATGTGACACTGAAGACTGGAGTAATGATGCTGAAAATACAGCTTTGCCATTACAAGAATACATTTAATTTGAAAATATATTCAAATAGAAAAGTTTTTTTTATTTGTAGTAATATTTTGCAATATTACTGTTTTTACTGTATTTTTGATGAAACCCTCGTTGAGGTTTTTGCCTGCTGGATGTGCACACTTTTTGTCTAATTCCAATTGTACAGGAGATCAGATCCACAGGCTTCCACTAGGTTTTGGGCAGTAATAGTTGTGACTTCTTAGTAGTGTTGATTTATGAAGCTGTGACTAAAACATACCCAAAATAGAATAGGATTTTATGTTTATGATATGTAACCTAACCATCTTAGAATATGCATCACACCTGTTATTCACATTTGTTATTCTGATTTTCCCTGGAGTTGTGTAGCAACATCTTTAGGTTATGCAGTATTTAGATTTTTAGGTGTATTGTTGAAATGGACAATTGTGACCATGTCTCTGTTGCAGCACATTGGTGATCAAGCAGAAGCTCCCTGGTATCTATGTACAGCCTTCATACAGATCAGCACTGAGTAAGAATGTCTTCCTCCACTCTCACGCAGAATGTTCTTATGCTGCATTCCATTCAACTCCAAAAGAATTTCCAACTTCCTGCCTGGAAAAGTGCAACCGAATGTGCAGTCAATTAACTTCTACTTGGAACCTTGTGTGGAATTCTACTAGGGCTGGGCGATATGGAGCAAAAAATATATCTCAATATATTTAGCTATATCTCGATATTCAATATATATCTCGATCTTTACAGGAAAATGGATGTGAATACAACTCAAAATATAGGCCTACAATCAATAGAAAATTAATTTTCCATAACAGAACGTAACCAAATGAGAAAATTCAAGGCAGAACTATGCACTATGGAAGTTCGATTAATGGATAAAATTCAGAGTCATTGTTATTTGAAGCTTAAGAAACTTAAAACCTGGTTGTGGTACAGTGTCAGTGATTAGTTGTGAAATCTTGCATAAATTGAATCTTATTTAATCCTCCATATGAAAGTTTATGTGCTCGAATTATTTCTATTAAACAATAGTTTAAAACAAGACGTTTGTAGTAGCCTACTGATTACTGGAGTCCATTAATTGAACTTCCATGCCTCTTATATAGTAATTATATATTGTAGTATGTAGGCTACCAATTTACTAATGCAATTTACTAATACTCACACTCGGTCTCTCTCGTGCTCTGTCGCTCGTGCGCAGACACACTCGATCTCTCTCTTGCGTGCAGACACACTCGATCTCTCTCTTGCGCGCAGACACACTCGATCTCTCTCTTGCGCGCAGACACACTCGGTCTCTCTCTTGCGCGCAGACACACTCGATCTCTCTCTTGCGCGCAGACACACTCGATCTCTCTCTTGCGCGCAGACACACTCGATCTCTCTCTTGCGCGCAGACACACTCGATCTCTCTCTTGCGCGCAGACACACTCGATCTCTCTCTTGCGCGCAGACACACTCGATCTCTCTCTTGCGCGCAGACACACTCGATCTCTCTCTTGCGCGCAGACACACTCGATCTCTCTCTTGCGCGCAGACACACTCGATCTCTCTCTTGCGCGCAGACACACTCGATCTCTCTCTTGCGCGCAGACACACTCGATCTCTCTCTTGCGCGCAGACACACTCGATCTCTCTCTTGCGCGCAGACACACTCGATCTCTCTCTTGCGCGCAGACACACTCGATCTCTCTCTCTTGCGCGCAGACACACTCGATCTCTCTCTCTTGCGCGCAGACACACTCGATCTCTCTCTCTTGCGCGCAGACACACTCGATCTCTCTCTCTTGCGCGCAGACACACTCGATCTCTCTCTTGCGCGCAGACACACTCGATCTCTCTCTTGCGCGCAGACACACTCGATCTCTCTCTTGCGCGCAGACACACTCGATCTCTCTCTTGCGCGCAGACACACTCGATCTCTCTCTTGCGCGCAGACACACTCGATCTCTCTCTTGCGCGCAGACACACTCGATCTCTCTCTTGCGCGCAGACACACTCGATCTCTCTCTTGCGCGCAGACACACTCGATCTCTCTCTTGCGCGCAGACACACTCGATCTCTCTCTTGCGCGCAGACACACTCGATCTCTCTCTTGCGCGCAGACACACTCGATCTCTCTCTTGCGCGCAGACACACTCGATCTCTCTCTTGCGCGCAGACACACTCGATCTCTCTCTTGCGCGCAGACACACTCGATCTCTCTCTTGCGCGCAGACACACTCGATCTCTCTCTTGCGCGCAGACACACTCGATCTCTCTCTTGCGCGCAGACACACTCGATCTCTCTCTCTTGCGCGCAGACACACTCGGAGTTCTGTAGCCTCCGGGCTGGTTGCGGATGGGACAATTGTTGAATGAGACAACACGCGAGGTGAGGGGGAACAAAAGCAAGGAGGCGGGGGCGAGCACAGCACAGAGAAGGCAAACAAGCAAAGTGGTGAAATCAGGATTAAATATAAACAATATATCGATATATACGATATGTCAAAATCCATATCGTGTTTAAAAAATATCTCGATATATTTTAAATATCGAGATATCGCCCACCCCTAAATTCTACAACTATGTCAGGATGAGGATGCATTTTCACGTGAATATGCTAGCATGATTAATGATAAATGCACACATTCAAGGAAATAAAATTCAATGTTCTCACACATGCAAAACAAATGGTGGAAATTTGTTTTTGAATGGAAGGCAGCGTTAGTCTTTTTTTTTTTTTTTTTTATTGCAGTTTTTGTATCAAATTGATAATTTGTGGAATTATTAATGTCCAATAACTGTGCTGAAGAGTTAAATTGATTGTTGTATTGCTGATTTGCTCTGTCAAGTATACATCAATGTCTATTTTTTTGTTGCAGTGTGGTTTGGTGTGATTTTCATTCGACATGGCTTGTACCAAGATGGTGTTTTTAAGTTCACCGTCTACATTCCTGATAACTACCCAGATGGAGATTGTCCTGTAAGTATAGTATACACTTTACACATCTTTCCACTGAATTTTTTGCCATAACATGACCAGGGCACTGCTACTTGTGTTCATTCAATCCATGACTTGTTGTGATGTAGAGATGAAACGGTATGAAAGTTACATATCATGGTTACGGTGATCAAAATGATCACCGTTATCAATATTATGTGCTGGAAATGTTTAAAAAGTACTGATACACAGTGAAAATCATTTCACCAAGTTTTATATCAAAACTGACACAACAAATAAATTTAGTAGCGCTGTGCACTTATTTTATTTTTTTAGATAAACATTAAAATAATAACATTACCAATGACAGACAGGTTTTAAGTTTACGAATTTTACGACTTGTAGTACATGTTGGTAGATAACATGTTATGATACATGTTTAAATAAAGTTTTGACAAAAAGTTTCATAAAATGATAAACCTCATTTCATACTTTAAACCATTTTTTAAGAAAAGAGAAGATCAATTAGTTAATGATAAATGATTTTAGGCATTTCATCTGCTCTGTGAATAATTCTAGTTACCTTATCCAAATTGTTAACCTTAGCTTATTTTCCATCAGCTGGTTACAATTTACAACATTTGCAATGTTATGTTTGTCATGTATAGGTCTGTAAAAAAACAACAAAAAACAGTGGTAATAAACAGCTTTTCTATAGAATTTTGTTTCTAGAAAAATATATCTAGAAATAATTGCCTAAGCTAACCATAGTAAAGTCAGACCTTGCTGTAGTCTTTATTCATTGTTTTAATGCCAAATGGAATGTTGAAATACTTCAATCTTAATTCTGTAACTGATGACATCAGGGTGTGTCTAGGGACAGAACATTACTGGCGGCCTGGGCTCTGAACCGGTTCAAGGAACGAAAACAAAAACAAGAAACGAACACAATTTTTACAGGAACAAACAAAAACAAAGTCAAGTTTAACTGTCCTGAACAATTTAATATTTTAATTTGGCAGTCAACCAATCTTGAATTCAAATAGTACGGCCTATGCAAATGTAACGTTGATGCATCCAATGCGAGTGAAATTGCCCACGCTCAGCTGTCAAGTCATCTAAGTTGATAGCAATGTGCTAGCATTCGCTTTTGGATCTCAGGAGTTTTGAAAATAAATGGAAGGTAATATCCAGCGTGGTGTGTGTGTGTTTTAAACCAGCAAAAATGGCAGGTTAGTGTAGAACCGCTACTATTCAGGAAATATGTATGGTCAGAAACCTGCATGTTATATTATTAATATTTTTCAGTGAATGTTGGAGATTTGTTTTGTTGAGGCAATAAGTGGATCGTATTACATTTATCAACGTACAGGTTACAAAGTTTATTGTAGCTATGTGGGCACTCGGTTTTTCTGTCGTTTAATACACTAAGCCAAAATGTTGTGTTATAAAAGATGAAGTGCTATGCACACTCACAGGCTGAATCGGATATGACTAGACGGCAAATACCAGACTAAGACCCTCTTCTCCGCTCCTCAAATAAAAAACACAATGCTTGTAAAGGCTAATGTTTTGAGTAAAGAAAATGCTGTCCTTATTAAAGAACAAAATGTGTGCTGCACTTAATTCACGATTGTGCCGGGTGGAGCTACTGTATGAGGTTTTCCAGACAGTTTGAGGATCCACTAGAGTTGATGTTGTTGTGTCCCCCAGCCCCTTTTAGCCCTGCCCAACTTTATCAAGTCAGCAGAGGTGTGTTTATTTTATTTACGTTTCAATTACTTGCTCAATGAGTTTCTTATTCCAGGTTTGAAAAAGTCACAGAAATTAATAAATACTTAATTCATGGAAAGTCTATTGGATATTACAGAATATAGATAAGCTTAGTCAGTAATCATGAATGCCTGGAAAAAATTATCCAGAGGGTTCCGAAACCTTTAAGTTTTCATTATGGCCATATCTATTTGTCTTTTCAGTTTGCAGTCATCAGAAGAGCTAATATATTTTTCTTTTCTGTTGCATTTATGCGTGTTCTTTCAGAGGGTTGTTTTCGACACCCCAGTTTTCCACCCACTAGTGGACCCGGTCTCTGGCGAGCTGGATGTGAGAAGAGCTTTCACCAAATGGAGGTCTGTTTAAAATGAAATAAAGCCCTGCTGTCATTTTTCAATCGTTTAAAGTACTTTATTGGCATGATTGTGTCTACATATAATATTTTTTTAAAGCATTATAGACAAAATAAGTAATGACAAGAAAAAATAACTAATTAACTAACTAATAAAAATGTTATTAAAGTAAGGTGTTTGGTAATGATTAAAAATAAGGTGAAAATAATATTTATCTAGACATTTATCATTTTTGCCTTCATGGAGTTGCCATAGTCTAAAGGGGCTCAAGGTTATTTTGGGATTTTTTTTGTGACTCTGGGGAAAGGATTTTATTTATTTATATTTCTCTGATTTTGCAGACGAAACCACAACCATATCTGGCAGGTTCTTATGTACGCCCGTACAATCTTCTATAAGATCAACACTATGGATCCGCTCAACCCAGAGGCTGCTGTGCTGTGAGTGGTGGATTCTGTATCATTTTTGTAGTCCACACAGTTTGAACTCTTCCGAGCACTAACACTTGTGACAGTCACTAGATAAGATTAGAGTGTCAGCCACTGAATTTGCTTCTGCTTTACAGTGAAATGAAGTAACCACAATCTCTCTTTCTTTCGTGTTTGGGCATTGCCTATGTTAGTCTGAGCTTATTTTGACTTCCTGTGCATCTGAAGACATATGGTGCTTACAAGCTTAGTCCAACCTCAGACTTGGCTTCACACTTCAAGATGAAAGCTTGTTTAGCTTCCCCCCCCCCCCTGCATTCATTTCCTCTTAGCTGTGCCTCCCAGTAGTTATAAGATTGTTTTGAAGTCCTGTACTCTTGACTGCTTTTACTTACTAATATCAATGCTGTCTGTGCAGGTATGAAAAAGACATCCAGCTCTACAAAAGCAAGGTGGTAGACAGTGTCAAGCTATGCAATAGTCACCTGTTCGATCAGCCCAAGATCGATGACCCTTATGCAATAAGGCAAGTGCAACACTCAGATGTTGTGTTGTGGAGTTTGCCTCCATAATTATGGTCTCTTAGGCTATATTTACACTTTTTTTTTTTTTAAATAGCATTTTTATTATCTGACACAGATTTGATATTGTTACGCACATGTAAACAAAAAAATCTGCACAAGATATTTCACATTCGTTCAGAGCCTCTATCAAATGTGGTTTCTGATACATATCTGATAACTGGACATCTGACCTATGTCTAAATTGGAACTCCAAGCTACCACAAGGTGAGGGACAAAGCGAGGCTTTTCTTTGTTGTATTATGCAGCCAGCGTTCCTGTATGTGCTCGTAAAAACTCACAGCTTCTTTTGAGGTGAAAACGTTCTATATAGGCAAGATATTGCGCACACAGAAACATTCAGGAGCACAGAAACATTTCATATGGATTACATAATCAGAGTATTTCTTTTCGAGATTTGAATTGTTTCATTTAAAAGTAGGCATTTCAAGCTTCCTATAAAAATATTTCTCACTCTGTGAGGCAAGTAGCCTAGATACGCTGAGTTTCGGTTCATTTTTGTGACACGCTCCAAGAGAGCGAGACGGCAGAAATCGCATCCTGTGTGTTTTCTTTATTTTTCAAAAGCACAATGATTTAAAAAAAAAAAAATTATTGTGAGTGTACACAAATAAAAGTAGACTATTAAGTAAATGTATTACTTTTGACTGTATGACCAAAAATGGCAGAGTATTTTAGGCCGTTTCTGCTGTAAAAATGTAAGTGACCCGCGACGGCGTTTCCATGTCTTGCATTAAAGCTTGCTAATACTTGAAATACTTCAATCTTAATTCTGTAACTGATGACGAGATGTGATGACATCAGGGTGTGTCTAGGAACAGAACATTACTGGCGGCCTGGGCTCTTAACCGGTTCAAGGAACGAAAACAAAAACAAGAAACGAACACAATTTTTACAGGAACAAACAAAAACAAAGTCAAGTTTAACTGTTCTGAACAATTTAAAATTATCATTAACAACTTAATGTTATTTTATCGTTCTGTTTAATATTTTAATTTGGCAGTCAACCAATCTTGAATTCAAATAGTACGGCCTATGCAAATGTAACGTTGATGCATCCAATGCGAGTGAAATTGCCCATTCTCAGCTGTCAAGTCATCCAAGTCATTCGCTTTTGGATCTCAGGAGTTTTGAAAATAAATGGAAGGTAATATCCAGCGTGGTGTGTGTGTGTGTGTGTTTTAAACCAGCAAAAATGGCAGGTTAGTGTAGAACCGCTACTATTCAGGAAATAAGTTAGTAGCGTGGCTTTATGTATGGTCAGAAACTTGCATGTTATATTATTAATATTTTTCAGCGATCGTATTCGGATTGTATTACATTTATCAACTTACAGGTTACAAAGTTTATTGTTGCTATGTCGTCACTCAGATTTTCCTGTCGTTTAATACACTAAGCCAAAATGTTGTGTTATAAAAGATGAAGTGCTATGCACACTCACAGGCTGAATTGGATATTGTAGTTCTCGTCGACTAACGTTTATTTGACTAGTAGTGGGCAGCCCAAGATTTCGAAGCAATTAAACTCACAGCTGAAAAAACTAAAGCGATCACCACCAATGTAATTTTTTCTAGTTTGTACAGGGATTCATGTAAAAGCAGATATCAGATATGAGTCATGTCTTAAGTGAGTGTAAAAAGGGCTTATAAAAAAAAAAAAAAAAAAAAACCCTGATATTTACATTTACATTTAGTCATTTAGCAGACGCTTTTATCCAAAGCGACTTACAACTGAGGACTAAACCAAGCGAGTCATCGTGAAGGGGCAAAAGCAACGCAAGAAGTGCTCAAAATACAAAGTTCAGACATAGCTCGGAGTAGCATGAGCCAGGCAAGCGAGGATTTAGAGGAAAGGATTTTTTTTTTTTTTTTTATGTTAAGTGCTCCCGGAAAAGATGAGTTTTCAGTTGTCTTTTGAATGTTGTCAGGGATTCTGCATTCCGGATGAGGGTGGGGAGATCATTCCACCAGCATGGAACTGTGAATGAGAATGTTCTGGAGAGTGATTTTGTGCCCCGCTGTGATGGTACCACGAGCCGTCGCTCATAGACCGATCGTAGGCTTCTGGTAGGGATGTAGACTTGTAGTAGTGAGTGGAAGTAGGAGGGAGCTGAACCTGTGGTCAATCTGTAAGCAAGCGTCAAAGCCTTGAACTTGATGCGAGCAGCGAGTGGTAGCCAGTGCAGAGAGATGAACAGAGGAGTGACGTGGGCCCTTTTGGGCTCGTTGAAGACCAGACGAGCTGCAGCATTCTGGATCATTTGTAGAGGTTTAGTTGCACATGATGGAAGTCCAGCCAGAAGAGCATTGCAGTAATCAAGCCTAGAAATGACCAGGGCCTGGACGAGAAGTTGTGTTGCATGCTCAGTTAGGAAAGGCCTGATCTTCCTGATGTTGTGCATAGCAAACCTGCATGATCGAGCTGTCTTTGTAATGTGGTCTGTGAAGGTCAGCTGATCATCAAAGATTACTCCAAGATTTCTGACCGACCTTGATGGGGTGATTGAGGATGAATCTAGCTGGATAGTGAGGTCGTGCTGTAGAGACGGATTGGCAGGGAGGACGAGAAGCTCAGTCTTTGCCAGGTTGAGCTGCAGGTGATGTTCCTTCATCCATGCAGAGATGTCCGCCAGACAGCTTGAGATCCGTACAGCTACTGTGGGGTCATCTGGTTGAAATGAGAGGTAGAGCTGGGTGTCATCAGCATAGCAATGGTAAGAGAAACCATGTGCCTGTATGATAGGTCCCAGTGATGTGGTGTACATGGAGAAGAGGAGCGGTCCGAGAACTGAACCCTGAGGAACGCCTGTGGTCAGTTGATGTGCTTTGGATACCTCACCTCTCCATGTGACCTTGAAGGACCTACCTGTGAGGTAGGACTTAAACCAGTTGAGGGAGGTTCCAGTGATGCCCAGTGATGAGAGGGCGAACAAGAGGATCTGATGGTTCACAGTGTCGAAGGCAGCAGACAGGTCCAGTAGAATGAGAACTGATGATTTGGAAGCAGCTTTTGCGACCCGCAGGGCTTCCGTGACTGACAGCAATGCAGTCTCAGTTGAATGTCCTTTCTTGAAGCCAGATTGGTTGACATCCAGCTGGTTGTTCAGAGACAGGAAGGATGATACTTGGTTAAAAGTAACTCGTTCAAGTGTTTTCGCAATGAATGGTAGGAGAGAGACAGGTCTGTAGTTCTCTAGAAGTGATGTGTTTAATGTTGATTTTTTAAGCAGAGGGGTTACCCGAGCCTGCTTAAATGCTGTAGGGAAAATGCCAGTGTGGAGGGATGAGTTGATAATGTGTGTGAGAGCTGGTAGAAGTGTGGGAGAGATGGCTTGTAGAAGGTGTGAGGGGATGGGGTCTAGAGGGCAGGTGGTAGGATGACTGGAGAGGAGAAGTTTAGATACTTCTTCCTCGGTTAGTGGAGTGAAGGAGGAGAGAAGGTTATTGGCTGTGGGAGAGGTTAGTCTGGGTTCCTGTGCTGAGAACTGACTGCTGATAGTGGTAGTTTTGTTAGTGAAGAAGTTAGCAAAATCATCAGCAGTTAAAGAGGAGGTGGGTGGTGGTGGAGGTGGACAGAGGAGAGAATTGAATGTCTTGAACAGTGAACGTGTGTTAGAGGCGCTGTTGATCTTGTTGTGGAAATATGAAGATTTTGCGGCGTGAACATCAACAGAGAAGGCAGAGAGCAGAGATTGATACCTACTGAGGTCAGATGTGTCTTTTGATTTGCGCCATTTCCTCTCCGCTGCCCTGAGCTTGGTCCGGTGTTCACGAAGAACCTCAGATAACCAGGGGTTAGAGGGAGTGGCGCGCGCTGGCCTAGAGGAGAGAGGGCAGATAGTGTCTAAAGAAGAGGTTAGGATGGAGCATAAAGTATCCGTTGCAGTATTCACATCCAGAGATGAGAAATGTGCGGGTGAGGGAAGAGAAGATGACACAGCAGAGGAAAGATGGGATGGAGAAAGTGAGCGCAGGTTTCGTCTGAAAGTAAATGGTGGGGAGGTTGGTGGAGCATGGGTAGTGAGTTGTAGATTGAAAGTAATGAGGAAATGGTCTGAAACTTGGAGAGGTTTCACCAAAATGTTGTCTGTGATACAGTTGCGTGTGTAAACCAGGTCCAGTTGGTTGCCTGACTTGTGAGTACCGGTGGCGATGAGCCGTTTGAGATCGAAAGAGGCTAGGAGAGAGATGAAGTCTGTTGCATACGGCTTCGCTAGGTGAATGTTGAAATCGCCAAAGACTACAAGTGGGATGCCATCCTCAGGGAAAGAGGAAAGCAGCACATCCAGCTCCTCTACAAAGCTTCCCAGTTGACCTGGGGGGCGATATATGACTACAATATGGATCTTCATGGGAGTTGTAAGTGTAATAGCATGATATTCAAATGAGTTGTTGTTGCATAGAGAAGAGAGAGGTGAATATTTCCAATTGTTAGAAATGAGAAGACCAGTGCCCCCACCCCTGCCCGACTGGCGAGGTGTGTGAGAGAAAGAGAAGTTGTTAGAGAGAGCAGCAGGGGTTGCTGAGTCTTCTGGACGGATCCAGGTCTCAGTCAAGCCCAAGATATTAAGAGTAGAATGAGATGCAAAGGCTGGAATGAAGTCAGCTTTATTGACTGCTGATTGACAATTCCATGGTCAAAAGATCTATGGACTAAGCCTTGCAGTGTAAATGCAGCCTTACTGTCATTCGTGAAAATGAAACCAGGAGTTTGTGGTGTTCAGTGAGGTTAAAGGTTCAGCATTGAGTCATCAGACTGGACCTCATCTCATTTGTTTTTCTGTATCTAATATTTGCGTTTTCTCTCTGCAGCTTCTCTCCGTGGAATCCAGCGGTGCATGAAGAGGCAAAAGAGAAGATGTTTGCACATAAAGTGAGTGTGTGACGCTCCCCTGACTGCTCCTCACAACCAAGTAAAAGCTGGCTTCTTCCTAGTATCTGATGCATGCCTCATTTTAAATCAGTTGCTTGTGTGTGGAACACTATTTCCGCTCGTATATCCTGTTGTCTTTTTCTACGTACTTGTGGGTTGGTTCAAATGTGAATTATTGTGAAAATATTAATTACAGCCTCTGTGTTTGTGACCAATGGCCTTCTCTTGTTGTTATAGCGGCGACCAGATGATTATAACAAAGGATTGCCAGTGTCTGGGCTGTCTTGGGTGAAGCCTGGTTCCACTCAGCCTTTCAGCAAAGAAGACAACCCCCTTCAGACGTGAACCTTCAGTGCTTCTGTCTGTCCACCAGGAGGGGCGCTATGCTACTGTGGCTGCGCCGAACCACATGTATAGAATTCTGATGCAGTTCTATGAACTTCATCTTCATTCGCAAAACCCTTGCTCAGCTTTAAAAGAAAATCATTTTAAACTGCTTTAATGGCTTCAGAACTATAGACATGTTCCCGGTATAGAACTAAAGACCCCACTCGTTCATTTCAATGCTGAGGCTTGAACGCACAGATGGCACAGAGATGGTTCTAGCCAATAATGTTACTTGCACATGTTTTCAGGCACAACAAACCACCTCACTTATTTGTGTAGGTCATGATCTTCTAAATGATGAACTTGGTTTTCTAACAAATAATTTGATAGTTTCCTTTTGGTTTTCCTTTCCCCACAAACTTGGTTAATAGTCTTAATGTGAAACTTACATTAGCAGACTGGGACAAAACGCTTTTTTTTTCTCCTTTTTTTGCATCTTGATGTATTTGGGTTGAGTTTTTTTTTTTTTTGTAATATCCTGTGTATGAAATGGTTTTAATGTAAAATACAGAGCAAGACAAATACTATTCAGTATAAGACTAAGTTAATCCTTATTTTTTAGTAATTCACTTTTATTGTGTCCTAATGGTTTGATCTAAATGGGGTTGATGTGTAAATAGTGGAGCAGTTCAATTAAATGAATGGCCTCTATAACGGAGTCCATAGCTCATTTATTTATCTAGAAATTTACGATGGTTGACTTTTTTTTTTTTTTTTTTTGCTGTTTTACAATGCTTTTCTTTCTCATCTATTTTGGGCAGTTTCAGTAAGAATACTGATGTTAGCTCAGCTGTGTAAGTAATGTACTTTTTTTTTTTTTTTATCTGTTAAAAGCCAATAAATGCATAAAGAATGAAACTGGTCTGATATTGTATTTAGTGGGAATACATTTTAGTGTTGATATTTGCAATAAAATGTTTTCCTCCATTTATGGAGAATACATTATAAATCAAGTGATATTTTTAAGGTGTGTGTGTGTATATATATATATATATATATATATATATTAGTAGTCAACATTTGAAGTGGATCCAAAAAGTTCATCAAAGTTGTCCTATGACAAGAACGGGTATTGTTCAAAATTCATGTATAACTGATGAAATGTTTTGATCCACTTCAAATGTTGACTACTGTGTATATATATTTATATGTATAATCTATATAATGTGTGTCTATATATAGACTTATATATATTCTATTTTGATGTGAAAAGCGAACTGTGGTACCTTTAAAATCATGCTGTGATAAAGTGGAGCTGTGTAAAAATAGTCATTTTGATTATACTCCTTTTGCATTTGACATGCTCCAGTTTCTGCTGTATTTGTCAGTGTTTACAAGAAACAGTTCCCAAAAGATCCACCAGAGGTGATCAAATATCAGAGGGACCGACATCAACTTTTCTCCGCTTCTCTCCTCCCACTGCTTCTACTACCATAGGCTGATTCACAATCGATGTAAAACCATCTCTGATTGGCTGACTTCCCGGCACGGCCATCTTGTTGTTTCAACTCTCTAACTTCATGTTTTGGTATTGTACAATCATGTTACAGATTACGAGTAACATTTTAAGGACATGATATTGACCTTTGCTAAAACCCAACCCGAGAATTCAAACGGGCGTCCCAGTTATTCAAAAGAAATGAATTCAACGCTAACCAATCACAGAGGACTTAACACAAATGCAAATGAACGTTTTATCATCATCCTACGTCAGCAGCGCTGGAACCGCTGAGGTCGCCCAGCCGCGATATTAACTACGGCAAAACTTCGCTATTTTATTCCTCCGTAAATGATCGCGCTGTCACCGGAGGATTTGGTTTCGTTTGGGTAAGTTCGTTTATTTGTTTCCTCTCCTAGAATAAAGATAATGTAGATGGTTATAGAGTGCGACAGTGCTGAAACTCAGGTGGCTGTCAATTCTGATGAGAGAGAGAGAGAGAGAGAGAGAGAGAGAGAGAGAGAGAGAGAGAGAGAGAGAGAGAGAGAGAGAGAGAGAGAGAGAGAGAGAGAGACGTTCAGATGAAACACCCGTAGCACCTGAACTTAGGTAGACTGTCACGATATGAGCTCCACGTGAAAAGCACGACACGGACAGGCAGCAAACGGTGGTTCTGAACTAACAGCGACCGAGCACACTCCAGAAAGTAGACCAATTGCTGTCTCCCGACGAACGTAACAGGAAAAAGAACAGTTTGTATATCAAGGATTATCATGTTCCTTCGCTGTCTTGACAAACTTGAAGAGGACACACGTTTAAAATTGGAAATGCTCCGTTGACAAGGCTGAAACGCGCGTTCCAGGTGATGTTCTGGATGGTACACTGATTTCATCTATAATGGAGTGTAGATTCATACAGGTAATCTGCGAAGACAGAGGTGGGATTACAGGCTCGACCATATAATATCAGTAATATTAAGAGTTTTCTGACCTACACTCAAAGTACTGTAGAGGGATTCTTCAGTTAGTCACCTTTGACAGCTTTGTGAAACATATTCAAAATATATATTGATTCATTTTTACTGGATTAAAGATTTGATCATGACGGTGATCAATCTTCAAGTGAATTTTGGTAGGATATTTTTGATGGTGTGGATTTTTATTGATTTATTTTGTATGATGGTGATTTCAACAATTGCTAACAGCAACTTGTGTTAGAGATGGATGGTTAATTTTGATCTTATAAAAACAAATTGTTTCTTTATGAATTCAAATTCTCAAATACTGACTGATTTGGTAATGGCAGATCAGAATGTAAAAATTGTAAAAGAAAAAAGGAAAAAACATGCTCTTAATTGGAGTTATAATGACAGTTTTTTGTACAAGAAAAAAGAAAAAAAAGAAGACAAAAATGCACACAAATAGCATTAATTTTCATTTATTTAAAAAAGAAAGTTGTTTAAGGGGAGGTAAAGGGTGTGCAAAGAAACATGCATTAAAGCTCTAATAATATATTCTTTAAATTTAGAATGATTTTTTGTTGCAAAATCGTGTTTTTTGATTTTAAAAAAAACTTCCCCTAATTGAAGGATCCATATTCATGCATGTACAGAAAATCTGGTAGTACCATTGGACTTTTTTTTGTGTTTATGGGACCTCCAGAGGAGCTCAGTGAGATAGCCTATTCTCTCCAACGCTTTGTTTGTTTCTGCCACATGCTTTTTGTCTAACTCACCTTAGTTATAGATGCAGCTATAAAAGTCTGCAAATATTCATTATTAGTTTCAGCTCTATACTTTCGAATCAGAGACCTCACTAGTACAGGCTAGTAAAAGGTAGTGAAATGTGAACCGCGATGCTGCTGGGACTCATGTGGCTGGTTACAACTTAGTCTAGTTTTGACGTATAGGGTCACTACGTTACAACTTGTGCATACTTAATATATTTGCGTTGTACCATTAAACTTTGATAAAGCTTAATTACTCTACTCCTGATCGGAAGCTTCCGTAAATATTTAGCTTGTAGCTATGTAATGTATGGAATAAAATAGCAGACTGACTGAACTGCATCAATAGACATTTACACTTACATTTTAAGAGAGAGAGAACATGATGCGTGAATAAATCACTGTTTTAGCGGATCTAAAGCATCCTAAACAGCACACCTCTGTGTGCATTTGTCAATGTTTTGCATGTCAAATGAAATCAGTCATAGTATATGATTAATATGATTTATTTTTGTATCAGCATTTATTTAATTATTGATCCTTATTCATTTCAAATAAAAGTTTCTGAATGTTATTTACATATAAAATATCTGTTATGTTATTTGTAATATTAGCATCTTATTTAATGGAAACTCACACATTTAAACGTAACTTCTGCTCATGTATTTAAAGGCTGCTATTGAATCATTGAGGGTAAACGTCATATGCGACTACACATTATCTTACGGAGAGCTTACGGCCTACTAGCTACGTTCTGCCTTAAGAACAAATGGTGGAACCTAATAAAGTACGACAGAGTTAGTTACAAACTTGCTAGTGATAATTACTAAGCCGCTATATTGTGGACTTTCATTCCAATTTAAGCTTACAAATGGCTGGTGCTGGTTTTGCTTCCATTTAGCCTTTAATATGTTCAGATAGACCACCTTAAATGCACTGTAAGGGGTTGTTTAGACAGGAAGTAATCTTCCATGTAAAAAAAAACAAAAAACTAGACACTAGACAGTGTACAATGATGTGTTGCTTTTGACTTGACACAGCATTTCAAATGCATTGTCTGTGATGTCTGTCTAGCGCTCTTGATGTAGAAAACAATTCAAAAACCAGATGGACACAAGAAAGCATCCTGTGTGAATGACCCCTAAGTCACTTTGGATAAATGTCTGCCCATATGTGCTCACATAAAAGGAAATATTAAACACTGATATATATATATATATATATATATATATATATATATATATATATATATATATATATATATATATATATATATATATATATATATCTGTATATATATTATAGTGATGTGTTGATGTGTCAGTGTTTTTTTTCTTGTAATATAGGGCAAGGTGGGATTCACATTTAATAAATATAGATGCGCTTACACTCTAAAAACAATAAATACCTTGTCCTTGTCCTTGACACCCATCTCCATCTGAAGTATTGTTGAACTTACACCAGGAAGCAAAATGGCGTTCAGTGATGAGTCAATGGAAGCTCCAGGAGGGACAGTATAATTTGAGCCCACATACATTTTCCTCTGTTTGAAAAATCATCTCTGAGTATCATGAGTCACGATGAGAGAAGATAACTGAAGAACTTTTCCATTAGTTCTAGAGAAAGTCTCGTTCAGCCAGCTTTACATTAATTGATTCTTTTTGTACATTAACTAAGAACCTCAACCGGTGCATTATCAGTAGTTGGTACATGTGTACTCTTTAGAATTTTCTGCATCAGAAAATGTGAATTTTATGATATATTATTATTCGCTAGGCCTATGCCATGTTGTGCACCGGCAAGCAGCTGTTTCTTTCTGCTTCTCTTTTAAAGAGTGGCTTTTGTTATTCCACAATTAAAGCAGGTTCATTATTTGTCCAGTCTTATATAAGATTGCACTGGTCCATATTTCTGTTGTTTAGAAATATGCTAAAAATAGAGAAAGGTTTGCTGAACATAATGTAAAGATCTTGAATTGCATCTGCAAAACCTGAATGGCCATTTGTTTTACATGCAGATTGAGCTTAGATTTTTTTTTTTTTTGTGTGTGTATAAAGTTAGTCTAAGACTAGCCTTATTCTCATGCTGGAACATCTAGGCTACCTGAAGTTTTTCACTTTAATTTTTCACTCGGGATGCACAATATATCGGTATCATATCAGTTATCGGAGCATACTGACTATATACAGCATTTTTGCATTTATCAACTAGCCTAGCTATTAACTAGTATTTAATGGACCCTTTTTACAGACACTGATAATGCGTTTATTAACTTTATAAATATTGTATTTTTTATTTACTTTTCAAAATTTAATGAACATTTAAAACACCCTTGTGTTATATTACCTTGGCATTAAATACATAAATACCAATTAACTGCTGCGAGAGTGATGGTAAATTTTATATACATATTATTTTTATTTATTTTTTGCAATTGGAGCAAACGGGAAGCTAAAATCATAATTTCTGTTGTCTCCCATTTACCACTATAGAAGTTCACCCAATGATTACTTGTTTTTGAGAACCCTGGAAATATGAAAAGGGTCCATTGTTCATGCGCATTTCTTCTATTTTTACATTCACCTTTGTCGTCATCAAACATGCACTTACACTTTAAAAAACACTATTTAATAACAGTTAAATGTAATCTTTAGCAAATTTCATAATAAATATCCATTTTTCATACTATACAATATAATGTTGTAATGCTTCAATTAACTTGTGGCATTTAAAACAATTTTTCACAATTTACCGTCTGTCAGCCATAACAAGCCATTTAGCAGTTTAATCATATCAGTCAATATTTTAATGAAAGGACATGAACTGTTCCTACAGGAATCAGGTGCAAGAAATTGCAGAAAAAGACAGCTACGTTCACACTGCAGGCTGAAACGACCCAATTCTGATTTTTTTGCCGCTATGCGACCTGTATCTGATCTTTTCATGACAGTCTGAACGACACAGATCCGATCTTTTCAAATGCGACCCAGGCCACTTGGGTATGTGGTCCAAATCCGATATGTATCCGATCTTTTGAAATGCGACTTCAATCTGAACGGCCAGGTCACATGTATCCGACCCGCACGTCATTGATATGCGACAAACGTCATAATTCTGCGTTGAAGCAGGCGGGAATTGACCGTTGAGGACTCTTCTGCGCATGCGGGTCACTTCTGGGTCATTTCACGTTCACACAGGAGATCACAAAAGGTCGCATTTAATTGTAAATGTGAACGGCCTTGCAAAAAAATCGATTTTTTTCAAAAAATCGGAATTGAGCATTAAGCCCCTGCAGTGTGAACGCAGCCAAAGTCATATCTTCCTCCAGTTCCACTTTTGATGTGGAAGTCGTTGAAACTTCACTCGCCACCTGTCATGTTGGTTAAAGCATGCTGTGCTGTGGGAAAATGAATCACTAAAAAAAGAGGTTACTTGATAGGGGTGGTCCAGGATCAGCTTCGCTCATCCAGAAAAAACCCCCTGACCATAGTCAAATACAGCTCTGAAACTGGTCTCGGGTCTCTGGCACCAGGCAACCTCTACAATACCTGCTCTTTAGATGAGTCACAATTCAGTATGACTTGGCTGCTGTCACAGGACAATTTCACAACGGAAATGTGTTGACTTGTGCAGTCCAAGACCAGCAGCGCTGACACTCAACCGTGCCTCATCTTGTTGAAGTCACACTCTCACTGACACTACAAAAGCCAGTGGATTTGTTTTTCTTAAATGCATTGCATCACACCATTGACCAGGGCTGTTAGGCATATTGCAAAAATGTAAATTGAATGGGACATTGTAGGTTACTCTATGAAAGAGACTTGTGTAAGATCTAATCTTTGAAGAGTGTGTGCTGGGGGAGGGGGTCGCAGTGTTTTTCAGTAGTAGGAAGTTGCAGGTGTTTTTGCTTGTACAGATAGTGCACGGCTAATGGCCTGAGACGGCAGGGCTCTTATCAGTGTGTCTTTCAGCTGTGGACTGATGCTGCTTCCTGAAGACACCTCTAGCCTTTCTTCTCACAAGAAATGTTTTTGGCCTGATGCTTATCCTATGAAGCCAGCTGATATAAATCCGTCCTCACAGCCAAAGAGTCTGATCAAAACTGGTAAGCTATCTGGGCTTGGAAGTTTGGCAATGAGTGTTTACATAAATCTTTTTGGGTCTGTTGTGTCTGTGCCAAAATGTTTCATAAGAACCACCGGTAAGCCATTGCTACTCCAGCTGTATGTATTGCCTATTAAAAAAAGTCAAAAATAATAATTAATTAATTATTTAATTAATAGAATTTATATTAAAATACATATTTTCTGTATGGCACTGCATGCCATATTCAATGCAATATGCAGTAATCTACACACCAAAAATGAAATGAGAACCGTGTTCTTGAATAATTAGCTATTTCATACACTATATCATCAACTGTGAAATATTACAATTTAAAATATTTTTTTCTATTTTAATATATTTTAAAATGTCATTTATTACTGTGGTGGTAAATCAGAATTTTCAGCATCATTACTTTAGTCTTCAGTGCCACATGATCCTTCAGAAATCATTCTAATATGCTGATTTGGTGCTCAAAAGAAATTTGTTAATAGTATCAAAGTTTAAATCAGTTGGTGCTGGTTGATTTTTGTGGAAACCATGATTCATTTTTTTTCAAGTTAGAAAGTTCAAAAGAACAGCATTTATTGAAAACAATTCTTTTGTAACATTATAAATATCTTTACTGTCACTTTTGGTCAGTTTAGTGTGTCCTTGATGGATACAAGTATTAATTTCTTTTAGTACTACTGGTCTAGGCACTATACGGGGTCAACTGGTATCTACCAGTTTCAATTTTCGCGTACGATATGTATTTTTCAAATACCGCCATACCGGTGCGTAGCTGTCTGAAACAATTGCTGCATCTATTCGACAGCCACGAAGAGCGCTATGTAGTGTGTGAATACCCTTCTTCTTACTAATGGTAATAACTTTATATACAATAAACAACCCACTGAACTTACTCTCTTTAACATGGCATATCCCACGTAGAGCCCTGAAAGAATCACGGAATCCAGTCACAAATAGAACTTACTGTAAAGTGGAATGTCACGAAATTTTATAATTTTGGATGAATAAATCAAAAGTAGGGCTGTAAAATGAATGAAATCATGAAATGGACTAGTGTCTGTGAATATTAAAGCTCAATAAGACCACTATTGAAATCTGAAGCGTGTCTGTGAATGAGCGCCAGTTTCTTATACTGAAGCAAGCGTGACGCTCATGGTGGTTTCAGTGTCTGCAGTCTCACTATGAGGATCTGCAGAGCTGCTCTAAGTTCACTTCACCATTTCATTTGATTAAACTATATCATACACAGAAACACAAAGGTCTTCTCAACAACCCTTCAAAACTGCGATAGTCGGTGTTAACTTAATGGTGTTACATGGTGTTCAGCCACACACCGATTACATCACTTGCCCACCGCGGCACCGCCCCCCACTATCGTTTTGATTTCGATAAATACAGATTTGGTTTAAAAACTAAATGTAAAAGCGCCTGAAACAATTTGCTATTTTCCTATTTTTAATATCAAAGACAAAATAAAATAGCAAAATACATATATTGGGATATGTTGTTATAGTGAAAAAAAATGACTCATATTGTGAAATAAGCTCTGTATTGGTATTGAGATATTTTAGTCATGTTTTGTAGAAAACTCATTATTTCGATATCGTGACAAGTGACAACTCTAGGAGGCAAGCAATGTGGTAATACTCTAAATCCATTGTAATAACTGAGCTGAGACTCATTGCATGTTTACACAGTCTAATTGTTTGAGCTTTGAAGTTAGCGCAAGTCAACTGACTGTCCGCACACAGCGTATATCGAGCTTTACCCTATTTATGTTGCAATTAGGGTTGCACCAATACCACTTTTTCATAACCAATCCAATTCCGATATTCTAAATCCGATCCGATACAGTGCGGTTTTTTCTTGATCATTGTAAAATATACCATCCAACAAGGGGATACCCTACAGTCTATACCTTTGTGTGTGTGGAACTGATGATCAATCTTTTTATGTGTTTAACACAATCCACTAAATACATACACCTTTATTATAGAGAACAAAAAAAAAAAAAAACAGCAACAAACATATTTCTATAATAAAAAAAAACTTGCTGGTGCACAGTAATTTTATAAAATCTAAACATTTTAGCAGTTTTAAACATCGTTAACAGTAATGTTAACAACCAAGAGTACGCACAGTATAGGTGCGTATGGATTTGGATCAGTTTCATCTGACCGATACCCGATCCAGCAAAAAATGTCATGTGAATATCAGATCTGTGTATCCATAGATAGTTGCAATGATAATTGTAAATTGCCACTGATTCTTTACACTTTAGTATCTAATCATATTGTAAATTTAAAACTGCGGTAGATTTAAATGGAATTGTGTAATCAATACTTTTCACAATTCCTTAAGCAAGGCAGCAGTAATCAAACTGTATTTTTTCCAGTCCCATCCTTATACTCCAGACTTAAAAAATCTTTAAGAAACAAAGTGATTTATATACATTCTGCAGAAGCGCACCTCTCCTATATAATATGATATACGGTAGGGTAGACTGATATCATATCAGTTTCTCCCAGATGACTTGAAAAGACAGTAAGCCTTAATTACAATGTTCCTGCCCAAATGCTTCCTGGTTTGAGACAGGTGTGTACTACTTGCAAAACATTTCACTAAAGCCAGCCCTAGATAATGAGAGGTGCCTTGTAATTTTGAACACTGGTGACAGACGCAAATGCGGCTGCATTTATGATTGAAATTTATGATACACAGTGCTGTGAGTTTGTGGTTGATATGAGATAGGACATATCACACATATGCTTTTTTCTTCTTTGAAATCTACCACCCATAGGACTGGCCCTCCATGTGTTTTCTTTCTTGCTTTTTAAAAAATTAAAATCAATATAAAATAGCTGTTAAAATCTATTTCAGATGGCAAAAAATATATGTGTTATGCTTCCCTATGTAGCGACTAAATAATTATTGTAGGTATAGAGGGATAAAGGATGAAACCACAGAATGGTATTGTAGTTCTGGACCATGTCTTGGTTTCTGTGCACTGCCATTTTGTTTATCTTTGTGTGTTGTGAGTCATCAGTTCGTGACTGACCTCCTCCACAGCCGGTGTTGGTCAGGACAGCCTGTTTCTCTCTCACCCTCTCTGTCCGGTTGTGTGTGTGTGTGTGTGTGTTTGCATGCGTGCATGAAATGGAATGAGCTGTCTGTATGTCCCACACAGCTCCTGCCGCTCTCCTGACCAGGGCTTGACAAAGAATTATGCAGTTCCCACTCACTCTCTTTCATCCATAACTGAGGGAAGTCTTGAGGGGAGTGTGAAGCACCTGGTTTTTGTCTGGTGCTGAAAGCTCTTCAGCTGCTGTGCTTGTTGTAATGCCTGTTTCCGAGCTCCACTAATGGTGTCAAATGTTCCCTGGACATTCCTTCCCCTTTCACCTCTCTCAGGCCTCAGGGTGTTCTGGAAGAGTTTATTGCCAGAGTCTTACTTAAGGACATGGGCATGTTAGAAGAGCATTAATGCAGTACTGTATCTTGTAATGGAGTGATGTAACAATAGATTTGTATTTAAAGTATATGCTCAGTGCTACTGCTTAAGGTCCATCTTCCTGCTGAGTGACCATATAGTGATCTGTTATATGACTAGAAGACATCTGACTTGTCTTAGAATTACTGCATTCCATTTAAACATATTTGAACTAGCTTAATCGAGGTCTTTGTTTTTTGAAGAATGCCATTACCTGTTGAATTTCTTTGAATTTGAGTTCATTCCATTCCACTTCCTGTCATTCCAATTCAACGGGACTGTGTGGCAAATTCAATATTGCCCATCCTGTTTTGAACTGAACTCTGTGTTGTATGTTAAAAGCAGTAATACCTGAAGTCTTGTGTTCTGAATACAGTATGTCAAATTCGACTTATATTAGCCAAGCTCAGAGAACAGTGATGCAATTATGTGGTATCAATGATGTTTTTGGATTCAAAACCTCTTTTAAAATGTGCTCAATTAATGATTTTTTGGAAGGTTATTGAAATAGTTCTGAATTCCATATTAAGTGTTTTGCATTCTAAAGTTGAATATCTAATGTGTAATTTTGTTTATCTTTTTCTAGACTGTTGCCCCTCTTGGTGATGGACACACAGTGGTTCAACAAACTCTGACAGTCTTTAGCTCCCTGTTGCATTCAGCAGTCCTGTCGTAGGGGCCGCTGAGGGGGCAGACACTTCATGCACTGAACTCATACAATGACTGACCCCATCATGGACTTCTTTGATGACCCTAACATATTTGGGGGAGGGCTTGACAGCCTAGTCCAGGATGATCCAGGGTTTACCCCTGGGTCAGTGTCCTTGGATGATGAACTTCACCTCGGTCCTAGTTTGGATAATATTCAGGTGGATGCAGGATCCAGATCTTCTACCATCCAACACGGGATACCCTACAGTCAACCTGTGGGGCATTTTGACACTGTGAAGGCACAGACCTCAATGGAACAGTCCTTTCCTGGTCCAGAAGTAGGTAGCAATGATGGAAGAGCATTTTTGCCACAGCAGCAACCATTTCAAGGGCATACTATGAACCAAGTGCCCCAGACCAATGGACTGTTTCTTCACAACAGCCCCATGTGGGGAAACCATGATCAAAAAGGGAATAACTACCATCAGCATCATCAACACCACCAACAACTTCATCAACAACTTCAACATAAACAATTTCAACAGCAACAACAGTTTCAGCAGCATCAAGCTCAACATCAGCAGTACAGTCATCAACATATTCAGCAGAGACAGCACAGTCTCAATCAACACCCAATCTCAAACCAGCTGCAGCTTCCACACCAACAAATAGCCCATCAGGGCTTGCACGAAATTGCCAAGAGCTATCAGGAACATCTCAATTTTTACTATGAGGGCAATGTCCCCCAAAATCATTCCCAGCAGCGCCACCATAACTCGCTCAGTGTAAAGGGTAGTCCCTTTCGTCCTACAGTTGCCCCGAGTGGACATTCACAGTCCAAACAGTATCTTGAGGCCTCAATGAGGCCTGTGTCTTCTCAACACAGTGGCTTTCAGGTGGCACAAGGGGTCCAAGGTTTTACTACAGGTCCAAGGTTGGAAGACAATGACCTGGCCTTCCCTGTCCAGTCTTCCCCTGCAAACCATTCTTTCCCAACTGACTCGGTTAGCCATGCTTCATCCTATCCCACAGCTCGTTACGTTCCCCCTGTAGTAAATGAAACCCAGTCTTACTCCTCTGCCCCGGTATCTATTTCAACCTCTTCTATGGTCATCTCATCATCAGCTTCAAACCTGTTGGATACTGGTTGTCCTTTCTTGTCTAATTCCGGAATGGAACATCAGCAGCAACAAGTCCGAATACCGGGCAGTCCAGCACAACAGTGCCCCTTACGTAGCTCCAAATCAGACCAGAATCCCTTCAGCTCCTCTGAGGTATTCTCAGATGGCCTGAACTCATTCTCTGCAAACCATCCATTCTCTACGGCAGAGCGAAGGACCTGTGGTGTGCCTGGATCTTTGGTTGCAAACCAGAGCGTAAGCAGCATTAATGGGCTTCAGGCTCTGGAGGAGGTCTTGCTTGGAGAGCAACCTGATCAAAGACTTGACGAGCTGGGTGAAGGTTCTGACCTTATGGGCGATGAGCTGTTGCCCCAGCTGGAGGCACTAGACCAGGAAGAGAACTCCAATCACTCTTGGATAAATGTAGGACTAGGGAATGACCGAGAAGAGGAAGTGAAGGAGCAGGAAGGCATGGAGGATGTGCCAATGGCATACAATGTACAGGTGAGAGAAGCAGTTCTCAGCTCTTTCCCAAATGTATCTTATTTTGTTTGATGGCTTTAAAGGTTCAGTGCTGGGATGTTGTAGTGTGTCAAAGCTTACAGCTATGAGCTCTCAGTTTTAGTTGTCAGCTCTGCTTGGCTTATTTTGAGCAGATGTGAATTATTTGCGACAGGGTTTTTGTAGTCGTTGTTGGTGTTTATCAACACAGGGACTATACAAGTTAATGATATGGATGAGATACAAATGAAATTATTGATGGAATGTTGCCAAGCAGACAATGGCCTACTTTGACAACAGGCTACATTGTAGTGTTCAACTATACAGGAAGAGAAAGGTCAAGACAGACTGGCTCCATTAAATAATAATCTACCACTCCTCCTGTTAGGGCCTTTAGACAGGTACTGTAGCAGCCGATTAAGAGTTGCAGTGGTGTTTAGGACTTACTGGGGCTAAGCATACTTAAGGCTATAACAAGATGTGGGTCAGGCCAACCATAGGATAATGGGAGGTGCACTCTGACTGACTAGAGTGGGTCTGGCTTGTGGTTTTTCTGACTGTGTGTGTTGATGTGAGATTAGTGTTTGTATATGAGTGCAGGCAGAAGGGAGTTGTTGATAATGAGGTTTCCTGAGGGAAATGGAGAATGAGAGAGAGAGAGAAAAGAGCAGGAGTACTGTCTAGACTGTGATCGCAAGCAGCAGGCTGTTCTTTCAGCAATACTGCCTGGCAGTGTCAACTCTCTCTCTCTCTCTCTCTCTCTCTCTCTCTCTCTCTCTCTCTCTCTCTCTCTCTCTCTCTCTCTCTCTCTCTCTCTCTCTCTCTCTCTCTCTCTCTCTCTCTCTCTCTCTCTCTCTCTCTCTCTCTCACTGTCTCTCTCTCTCTCTCTCTCTCTCACTGTCTGTCTGTCTCTTTTTCTGTCTCACTCTCTCTGTTGTGATGCATGAGCATCAGTCTTTCCCCTCAGCTCTTTGCTGCTGACACAGGGAGTTGAGGCTCAGTGATTCAGCTGCCACACTCTCACACATGCACACACACACACACACACACACACACACACACGCACATCGTGAAGTCTCTCCACCAGTTCTACCGGGCACATGGAGTGCTCTCGCAGTCAGACGTGCGCTCACAAATACACCTACCCAAATACAGATTCTGATTTGCCAGTGCTCTTGTTTTTCCATGAGGAGAAATGCAAAAAGGAGTCTCCTCTTTATTTGTCAATAGAGAGATGGATTGTAGTTCATTGTACCATATTGTACCATATAGATTTTTATCAGTATTGTTAATGTTGCATGTTGGGCTGGGCGATATGGCCAAAAAAATGATCATGAGAATCAGTCGATATCGATAATTATCACTATAAATGTCAAATATTAATTTATTTAGAATTTAAAGGCCTACATTTAATTCTTTGCAGTTTGATCCTGAGTGGAAGTTGTAGAAACCAGACAGTTAATTGTGGTATCATCAGTACATAAAAAAACGTACCAAACAGGTGAACATTTCACAAATTCACAAATTTCACATGTTTTGTCTCTTAGAAATGCACATTTAACAGTAGCCTGAGTGGAGTGACAGTAGCAGTTGCTTAAGTTGGGATGTAAGTGTACATTTATGTTCATTAATAAAAACAGTAGGCTAGCATCTGTAAAAATTGTAACAACCTCATTTTTAGAGGGTTACATTTTATAGGGTAAAATTTTATCGTCCATAGTATTTGGATCATGTTAACCACAGGTAAAACCATGCATTGCAACTTACAATTATGGTAAAATAGTAACTTTTTGTTTCTCGGCCTCGCTCGTTCCCACAGCTCTCAGACTCATCCTGCTTGCCACAAGATTCCATACTTTTTTTTATACATTTAATGTATACATTAATAATAGAATAAAATTCTAAATGAATATCCCATATTTCTGCCACAATCACATGGTTTCAGTTAGTGTTTTTAATACAGTAAATCATATAACTCTGGATAACTCTGCACTGAACCTAAGCACTTCTCACTGGATCTCACAGCGCTGTTTGAGACGGTGATAAATGCTTTGTAAGGTGCACGGTTCAAATGAGCAGCCCTGTTTCATTAATTTTGTGGCGCGGATGCCATTTAATATTTCTCATTCGCAACAGAAATGGCAGCACTCTGTGCAATGGTCTGCAACGCGCATGTGCAGCATTATTTGCATATTGCATAAACACAATGGGCCCTATTTTAACAATCTAAGCGCATGGTCTAAAGCGCACGGCGCAAGTGCACTTAGGGCGTGTCCAAATCCACTTTTGCTAGTTTAACGACGGGAAAAATGGTCGACACGCACAGCGCGTGGTCTAAAAGGGTTGTCCCTATTCTCTTAATGAGTAATGGGTGTGTTTTGGGCTTTACGTGTAATAAACCAATCAGAGTCTCATCTCCCATTCCCTTTAAATGCCAGTTGCACTCACGCCATGGCGGATTCGCTTTATGGCGGCATTTGATAGCGGAAAGACTGAACATGTCTCCAGAGGAAACGGATCTGCTCGTGCGTAAGGTAGACCATCTATGGGACAAGCCGGATTCCACCATATCTTTATGTACACAATAATAATCTTTTACATTGTAATCCTTTTATTTTTAATATTTGGCTGGTTTGTGTGCTGCTGCGCGTCCCTGTGTGTGTAATAAGCAGAATGTACGTGTATTGTGGACCCGCCTATAGGCGCACATTACTAACTGGCTCTTTAAATAACAAAATAAATATTGCACCATTGAGTTTTAGTTGACTTTATTGCACCATTGGACGTGAAAATGATAACTGCGTTGGGCTGAAGCTAGCAAAAAACACTTGTCGCGCCTGGCGCCGCATTGCACCAGGTGTATGATTCTATGATTCTAAAGAAAATTATATCGCGATAATTATTGTTATAGTTTTATCTCCCAGCACTAGTTGGATTTGCAGACTAATATAATTTAATTTTGCATTCTATTTACCATTTTTACAGTTATATTACCTTTGCTGTCAATCACTTACACGTAATCTTTAAAAATGCAAATTAATAACACTCTAAATGTGATTATTATTTATATTGTGTTTTAATTTTTATTTAGACAAAATATTATTACATTTTAATATTGGGCTTTTTTGGTTATCCGCCTTAAAATAAACAATTATCGACTCGTCAGAATTGGCCATAAATATGTATTGGTGCATAAGTCTACTGTTTTAGAATATGTTACAAATTAACTAGACTTTGTAAAAGTCAGTCAAGATGGATTGTTATGTTCCCCTTTAGTCAATCCGCCTGTCCTCGCAGATCCTTAATTAAAGCAGAGGCAGGATGTGGATCAGAGTTCATATCGTGTGACTTCCTGTAGTGAGTGTGTCCTGTAGACACATTTGTGTGTGTGTCTGAGAGAGAGAGAGAGAGAGAGAGAGAGATGAGCCATTCATGTGCACTGGGCTGTAGAAAGCCAACAGATGTATAATGTGAGGCAGTCCCAGGGTAAAAGAGAGTGATGCACTCAATCCTCTCTCTCCCTTAGGGTCTCGAGTTTGTGCTTTAATGTCCTGAGTCCCTGGACCACGAGAGTTAGTTTGGTGTTTCAGTATTGAAACTTGCCTTCACCAATGTCAGTTAAGTTGCAGTAGAGGGGAATGGCTTTTTTTGTGGTTTACTTTTTTGTGGTTTACTTTATGTTTGTAGAAAATACAAGATCATGGTTGAACATGTTCAGACAGAAATTTCACTAGTATATAACTTGATTTATTCACGCTACTGCAAAGATAACCCTCCTTCAGTGCTTTAATGGCCAAATCGTTAGGGTTAGTGGGGGGGGAGCTTCACATCAGTCTATGGGAAATGTCATATCATACCTTCCCATTGTAATGAACACCCTCTTGTGAAATGAAAGCAGCGTTGTTGATCGGGATTGAAAATGATTGAGATTTAATGTTTGAATTAAATAAATAAATTACCATTTGATCTGACAGTTTAGGAATCAACAAAAATGGTTTGGAATGAGTGACAGGGTAGAGCAGCAGCGGCCACAGTGTTACAGGGTGGTGTGATAGTGTGAGGGCCCGAGAGAGCGAGTGAGACCGGCTGACGGCATGAACAGAGCCCCTTTGTGCTGCTGCTTTGTGCAGAATGAACATTCAGCAACATAGATGCAAATACCAATCCACATCACTCACATGCACACACAAACCCCCTAACCTACTGTCTGGATGGGATCCAGATGATGGATCTGCTTTTTTAAGGTGTCTTTTTCCATTATATTTTTTTTAATTCTGTCTCTGACTCTTGAAATTAAATTGTCTGTTTACTGTACTTTTGTGATTTTATCTAAATGCCTTCACATTTTAAATGAGTATTAACATAGCCCATTTAGCCCCTGCTGGTAGATGCTGTAACTGCTTAATCTGGCTATGTAGAGGATCTTTCTCCACTGATGGCAGAAATATTTGTCTCTTTATTTGTCAAAGGGATAGTTCACCCAAACATTTAAATTCTGTCATCATTTACTCACCCTCAACTTGTTCCAATCCTGTATGAATTTCTTTCTTCTGCTGAGCACAAAAGAAGATATTTGAAGAATGTTGGTAATCAAACAGTTGATTGTCCATCAATAGAATTTTAATTTTTGGGTGAACTATCCCTTTAATAGGGATTTCCCGATAATTTTTTTTGTGTGCCCAATCAGATCCGATATATGCACTCACCTAAAGGATTATTAGGAACACCTGTTCAATTTCTCATTAATGCAATTATCTAATCAACCAATCACATGGCAGTTGCTTCAATGCATTTAGGGGTGTGGTCCTGGTCAAGACAATCTCCTGAACTCCAAACTGAATGTCAGAATGGGAAAGAAAGGTGATTTAAGCAATTTTGAGTGTGGCATGGTTGTTGGTGCCAGACGGGCCGGTCTGAGTATTTCACAATCTGCTCAGTTACTGGGATTTTCACGCACAACCATTTCTAGGGTTTACAAAGAATGGTGTGAAAAGGGAAAAACA